CCGCACGCCGGGCCCGGAGGGGCCGCCGCTGGGGGCCGAGCCGGCCGGAGCCGCCGGGCAAGATAGACATGGCTGAAAGCCTTTCCTGGGAGCTCGGTGTCTGCACGGGTTAAGGAGTGCGGGGCGAGGTGGAAAAGTTGCTGTTGAATTTCACTTTAAGGGACCGGACAGAAAGCAGCGAAATGGATGACTTCCGCTCCATCTGCCTGCTGTCTCTGGCCATGCTGGTCGCCTGCTATGTGGCAGGGATTATCCCCTTGGCAGTTAATTTTTCCGAGGTAAGACAGCTTCGCCAAACTGCTCGTTGGTTGCTAAGGGAGAATAGCAGAATCTAGATGGAGAGATCTACCAGAAGGAGTTAGTGCTGTCCCCTTTCAAGTACGGCAGTGCTGTTAGGGGTGATGTAACTTTGCAAGATTTTTAAGGAAGTTGTGAAGGTGATATTAACTTTCATTCAAAATTGCAGTGTAAAATTATGCTTATTCTACAATGTGTATAAAAGCCATTTAAGTGTCCCAAACTTGATCCGAGCATCTTGGCTACAGATGAAGCAAAGTGTCAGCATGTAGTGGAAGGACATGATAGCAGCTAGACATAGTTGTTCTTAGAAGCTTGTGTCAGAAATCTCTGAAGTCAGAGGGTAACTCTTACTATGTGTCTAAACTTTTATTATGTCTCAAATTAGGGCTTCTAAAAACAATTCAGAGAATGTTCTCAGAAAACTTTGGTTTGGTTCACAATGTTGTTCGCAGCTTGTGCTGCTGAAAAGTTAAACTCTAGCACTTTGATTACAACACAACTTCAAGTTGTGCTTCTATCCCATGGAACTCGAGGCATTCTTTTGGAAAAATATCTTGGATACATAAGGTGTTGTTAAAGGAAAGGGAGACTTTTGTGGATTGAATGAGTTTCCAAGCGGTACCGGAGTTCAGAAGTGAATGTATTTGGTGCTTCTAAGAGATGATTGTTGAGGGGATTATGATTGTTACAGTCTCTGAAAGTCTCCTAATATCCTCTGATGCCTGAGGGGTTTTTACCTTTCTAAGTGATGACTGTTGTATACAGGTGTGGTGTAATGAGAGTTTAGTTGTTATGAGGTAGTAAGAGCTCTCTTAGGAGAGGTTTCCCATTTCTACTGGGAGCAGTGCTGCTTTTGGAAAGTGAAGCTCTGGAAGGCAGATGTGACTTGTTCTTCTATCAAGTCACAGAGCTGGTTCCACCTGTCCTTTGGTCCTGTTATTACTAGGAGACTTTGGGAGCAGTAGACTCTGAACAGCATGGAAGGAAAGGCTGTTCATTTTGGTAACAGTACAATTCAGCCAAATAGATTGAAACATGAGAATATATTCTGAAGTCTTTACATAAACATTAGCATAGTTCTGTTTTGCCAGTGCTTTGTCTGATGTTTTGATGGACCTTCCCTTATATTACTTCAAGGCTGTTGCTTCCACTGTCTTGCTCTTCAAAACTCGCTTTTGCCCTGAAGTCTACAAAGGATGTTCTTGCAAATTTGCTGAGAACACTGCCTAGCATGCTAATATTGTCTCTTTTGGTATTTAATTCTGCATTTCCTCATGTATGTGCTTGATAGTTACTTGTTGTCTCTGACTTTATATTTGGTGTTGTTTGGAGGTAGAGTTCTTGATCTGTGTTTTTGTGGCTTATTTATATAGTTGAACCAGGGGGCTCCTAAATCATTTGGGACTCCCAACAGCTGCAGGAATATAGATCTGTTGTGGATCCAAAAACATAGCATTCTGCATAAACAGTAATCACCTATTTATTAGCCTTTTGTGTGTGCGGTATTTTGCCAACAGTACACACGTGCAATCAAGTTTATTGTGGTATCTTAAACTCTCAGAAATTCTTGATTCGGTTTTACACTTGTCTTAAATAGGATAGTTTAAGGATCCGCATGCTATGCTGGTTTAAAAGAGGAGCTGAATCTCTCTGCCAATTATCTGCAAATACTAACTAATCCTGGAAGTGTCTAATTAGAAGTTAGAATTGTTTTGTTTAAAATGATTGCTTAGGCCTGTGCAACATGGACAATTTGAAACTGAAATGACTGTTTGGACTGTGCATTCTGTGGTTTGCAAAAAGTTTTGCAGATGGCCTTAGTGAGGGGAAAAATGCCTCCTCTCACTGGCCACTTATAATGGTTAAAAAACAAAAATTAATGCTTTACATAACATACCCCAGATGCTTGAGAACAATAAAATTATTCATTAGTGTTAATACATTTCCTCAGATGAGTTTTTTGCCATGGAACCTATTGGTTGTGTTCTGATTTCATGCTAGTTTCTATTCTTTTAATTAGATTTGGATATTCTTGAAAGTATAAAACTCCAGCGAAGCAAGGTATGACTAAACATTGGTGGTAAAAAGGTACAGACTGAACAGGGCTTCACTTTATTTCTGTATGCATATGTACCCTTTCAGCTTAATCCTAACTTACAGTACTCTGTTGGGCTAACTTTGGGCTGGAAACAACGCTATACCAGTTCTTGAGGCTATCTCCTAAGTTGTAGCCTAAATGCAAAAAACAAAATAAAATCGAGTTCTAGCAGTTTGAATCTTTTGCTGGCATAACAGAGGTGGGCAGTGTTGACTGGGCTGGGACTGCTTGCTGCTGAAAGTAGGTGTGAGTTTTTGCTAGGTCCAAGTAAGAGTTTCAATACCGTGCAGATTTAAACCAAGTACTGAGCTGTGGAACAGCTTGCTAATTTGAGGAATTTAAGATTTTTCCCATGCATTTTTTTAATGCTATTTACTGTGTTGCTATTGTTTTTAATAAGAGACACATAAGTGTGTTTGCAACTGAAATGGTTTGATTTCTTGGATCAAACTAGGTGACTCTTCCCTGTCTGAGTAGGCTGCAATTATTAGATTGCTGTATTCACTGTGTCTAAATGTTTTGTAGTGTAAAAGGAGATAGAAACTTCTCTTGAAACAGTAACTTGTTAGTCTGTATTATTTTCATGGATCTTTAAAATTCACAGATGCCCAAATGAAAGCAAGCAGTACTCTGTATTTGCAGTTGTAATAAAACAGTATTACTTCTGACACCTTTTTTCCCTGTGTTTATATATGTATCTAAAAGATTATAGTGCTGCAGTATAAAAATAATCTTGTTTTTCCTTGTAGGATACTATATTTTTGCAAAACAATTTTATGAACAGTGGGTGTTGAAGATTATCTTTTCATGTAGATTGCCACTGTGTAATAATTTCCCAAGTATAATTGTTATATATGCCAGGGTACAGGGCATGTTTGTGGAAACTTTACAGGTGTTTTTATCTGTTGCATATTACTATTTTAATTTTCCCCAGTAATGCTCTAATTGCTTCCTTCTGGTCACATTTGGCTTGCTTTCAGAAAGCTAGCTGTGCATTTCTCTAGAGCCTCCTATTTCTTCTGTGCAAGTGTTGCCTATTTCGGTGAGATTAAACAACTTGTGTCACTATGGTGCATGAAGGAGAACAGACGGCATAATAAGGATACCGACAAGTGTTTTCCCATTGCTCAAACACTGACCTCTTGTCTCCAGGTCCTCAGTAGTTAACATCAGTATTTCGGTAGCACCTAGACATCTCTTTGTGCGTGGAAGATGATGACGGTTCTGCCACAAAATGTATGCTACACAGTTGTTACGAGGATCTAAACTCCCGTGGTTGCTACAGGTGATATGATAAGGGCTCTTACAGAAATGATGAGAAACAGTCTCTGCAAGTTGTCGTATTTTAGAGTCTATTAGATGTTTATATAACTGGGTTTTCAGTACATGGCTTTGACTTGAGGTTGTCGATGTTGTAGTCACAAGGAAGCAAAAAGTAATAGTAAACTGTTCTTACATCGGTAAAACAGAATTTAGTCAGTTTGGGAGGGGTGATAGCTCTCTAACCTTTTTGCCCCAAATTAGAATATAACTAGGAAGATAACCCTTACTAATAGTAGCAAATACAAACTCTTTGTGTGTGTGTTTTAGTCTTGGAGAAACTTGTCTAACTACACTGTTTTTCTTTATAATAAAAACATTAAGTTTATGTATTTTTTGTTAAAGTTTAATTGCAAATTTGCAATACTTACCCAACAAATCTATTTTAAACCCTGTCTTTGCAGAGGCGAAAGGGGAGTGCCATGGTCTGTAATTACCTGGAGAGTGGAATATCATTTTATATTGCCCTAAATGCCTTTACAGTCTCTAACTCCTTTTAAAATGTTACTGGAAGGCTTAGAAATGGTTGTAAAAACAATAAGCACTGTTCTGCATTTGTGCATCTCCTGATCAGATTAAAAAGAAAAAAAGACTGATATAAATTGTATATTAGCACCCTTATCAGTTTGACTGGTGCAGTTCCCTCATTCGAACTCTAATTTGAGTAAGCCTTTTAAAACTATTTTTTATAGTTCTGATTTTGGACCTATTTTTGGGATTCAGTCCCTTCTGCCATATTTTGTAGCTACTTGACATTCTGCAGGTGCTGTGATACTGTAGTTCTAAAACTTCACCTGGCACCTTTTTTCTTTTTTAGTACATGGAACACATAATCGTATCTTTCAAGTACAAACAAAGTTGTTTTCTCTTAGATTACTTTTTTTATCCACAGTTTTATATTTTTAAAGAAAGTTTGTTCTTCAGTGATACCCTATTAAATAGAAGACCATTAAGGTATGGCAGTTTTAAGGACAAGCTTCTGCTCAGGAGTGGCTGTTTGTTTTAGAGAATAAAATACAGTTCATTTATCATGTAACAGTCTTACAACAGCTTAACTTCATTCCTTGTGTCTCTAAACCTGTAGATGAAAGTACAGCTCCTGCTGCTTTTTTCTCTAAAATCTTCCTTTTCTCTTTCTGTATTCCTAAAACTTTTCTTAGCCCTTTTCTGTGTTATATAAATATAGCTGACTTGGCAGCTTCTACTCATACTTGACCAATGTATTTGTATCTGTAGATGCATTTACATTATTGGTTCTCTTGTCTTTCTGTTTTTGCTTTGGTAATTTAGTTTTCTTTCTTGTATCTTCCTTTGTTATTTGGATTGGCTTTTTTGGGGAATAGGCAATTTATCTTGCACTATGCCACACCTAGCAGAGATTTTAGGGAACTTGCATGTTTAAGTATGATTTCCAGTAGGAAGGATATATTTGAAAACAAACCCAGAATGGAGATAAAACGTAGTGTTGCAAACATGCTTCAAGATTCAGGCATTTTCAGTCTTTCTTTGTCTCTGCAGGCCATACAGTTTGAGGCCCTAGAGGGTGAATTGGACCCCAATAATCGTTAGTGCCAAATACAGCAATTCTTGCTATTTTCAAGTACACTACGTTTCACTTCTTGTCTGATGTTAACAGTCAAATGGGTCATCTTTAACTTTAATTTCCTACTTCAGTTGATTGCATCGGACACTGGCTATGTTCACTTTTCAGAAAGTTAATCATTAGCAATATAGGACTATGCAACTGGGGCTCCTGAATAAAAATCAGCAAGAGGTTTTGTGGATCACTCGCTCCCCCGCCCCCTTCCCCCTGCTGGAAATGAGGGAGAGTAAAGAAAGCATTTTCATTCTTAAAGATATTTGTTTTGTACTTGCTTGCAGGAGAGATTAAAGTTGGTGACTGTTCTGGGTGCTGGGCTGCTGTGTGGAACTGCCTTGGCTGTCATTGTGCCAGAAGGAGTACATGCACTTTATGAAGACATTTTGGAGGGTAAGAACCAAACCCATGTCTGTAGATGGCCTTGTTCAAGATAACTTAGGTCATGGTGCTGTGGTATACTGGGGCTTGTTTCTAGGGCTTTTAACACAAGATTGGCGGGAGGGTTTCACAGCAGCATGACACAAAGCCAGCATAGAATCGCAAAACTGGCACAGGCGTGATATTTTATGTTTATGGTGATTTGACAGAGAAATGTGATCAGGCTGTGGATCAGATGACTCTTGCTGAGCCATCCAGTCATTTGTGGGTCCAGGTACTGTACTGTTCATGGAACCACAGCCTTTTATGCCAGGTCGTGTGTAGTGTTCCTTATTCTGGGGAGAGTTAAAGTTTAACTTTCACTGGAACTTCAAAGGTGGTGTAAGGATGCCTTTGGCAGAGAATGAAATTATGGACTATTTGCTGTTGCTTTTTGTAGTTTAGATCACTTCTCATTACAACACTCGCAGGAAGTGTTTTATAGATCTATACGTACTTGTCCTCATAAGAATTTCCTCCTTTGAAGCTGAAGAGCAACTTGGAATTAAGTTACCTTAATATACTTGGCTGAAAATTATGGTTACATAGGACTAATTCACAGAGTAGGAGGCATTTCTTTCTTGGGTGGTGGTGGTGTCCATTACACGTAGATATCTGCGCATGGTTCCAAGTTCAAGCATCCAGTTCTAGTCTGCTGTTGCTGGTCTTCAAAACCTCATAGCCTCTAATGAATAGCTCAAAGCTAACAGTGATTATGTGTCTTGTAGGGCCGTGAATGTGGAACACATCTTATACCCAAAAGTCTTAGTAAACCTCGATTTGAGGTTATGACATTACTTTAAATAGTCAGAGCTCATTACCTCTGTTTGGAGTGCACTTTAAATCTTGCTTTAGCTTGGAGTCTTGTTCAAAACCTCATAGCCTCTAATGAATAGCTCAAAGCTAACAGTGATTATGTGTCTTGTAGGGCCGTGAATGTGGAACACATCTTATACCCAAAAGTCTTAGTAAACCTCGATTTGAGGTTATGACATTACTTTAAATAGTCAGAGCTCATTACCTCTGTTTGGAGTGCACTTTAAATCTTGCTTTAGCTTGGAGTCTTGTGTTATTACATTACCATTGCATGTAGATTTTTCCCAGAGAATGAAATTATGGACTATTTGCTGTTGCTTTTTGTAGTTTAGATCACTTCTCATTACAACACTCGCAGGAAGTGTTTTATAGATCTATACGTACTTGTCCTCATAAGAATTTCCTCCTTTGAAGCTGAAGAGCAACTTGGAATTAAGTTACCTTAATATACTTGGCTGAAAATTATGATTACATAGGACTAATTCACAGAGTAGGAGGCATTTCTTTCTTGGGTGGTGGTGGTGTCCATTACACGTAGATATCTGCGCATGGTTCCAAGTTCAAGCATCCAGTTCTAGTCTGCTGTTGCTGGTCTTCAAAACCTCATAGCCTCTAATGAATAGCTCAAAGCTAACAGTGATTATGTGTCTTGTAGGGCCGTGAATGTGGAACACATCTTATACCCAAAAGTCTTAGTAAACCTCGATTTGAGGTTATGACATTACTTTAAATAGTCAGAGCTCATTACCTCTGTTTGGAGTGCACTTTAAATCTTGCTTTAGCTTGGAGTCTTGTGTTATTACATTACCATTGCATGTATGAGTTTTTTCCAGAATTAGAAACTTTGCTGAAAGTAAACAGCAACAATTTAGTGGTCACAGGAGAAAGGACTGTAAAGTTGAGGCTATAGAGAACTTTGCAAGTGTCTGATGTACCGTTGTTGCTAATCTGGGATTGAGGGATAATTGTAATACTCTGCTTTTCTTGTACTACCATTTTTTTCTTGTTTCTACACTGTTTTAGATTTCTTTTTAGTAATACGCTTTAACTTATCCTGTTTTAGTTTCCACTAAATTTATGTTGTTCTGCTTAGATGTAAAGTAAACAGAAGATAATATATAAAATCATCCTTTATCAAGAAGTGAAAGAACCTCTGATTATGCTTTTATGCTGTACTGTAATTTGTGCTAATGTAGGATGTCTCTAATGAGCTGTAGTTGTGGGGTTTGCTCTTCATTCAATTTTAATTCCAAGTAGACTAAATTTTTCTTGTAATGATATGGCTAGCAGTAAATACAATTGCTGTGAATGTTTGCATTTTTTTTTTTTTACTAAATGGGGTATACTGTTCATGTATGAAATCTACAGCCTGCTGTTTAGAGCTATATGCTGTATAACTTAAAGTTTAGTATGTGGAGAGAAAAAAGGCGCTTCCCATTACTGCAGTAGGAATGTCAGAAGTATTTATGTAGGAGAAAAGAATTTGTTCTGTGAGTCAATTCAGACTCAATTCCTAATTCACAGTATTGTGACTAAAGCCAGTCTGTCATAGAGATTTCTTTTTGTATTGCAGAGAGGCAAAATTCATGGGTATTAGATTTAACTACAAAAAATATTTCTAATATTTAGGATATTCAAAGTTAAGCTTAAGATCCTGAGAACTTAACAGCTTTCAGTACTCTTTTTTTTTTTTTTTTTTTCAACTTCACCCATTTATGTAATTAAACCTACAAAGGTGCCTAAGGGAACATTGAGGCATATTCATATAACTGGAAAAAAAAAAGAGAGGGAGAGAGAGGTGTTGTGTGTTTGTCCAGTTCCAAGTGTAATTTAACTCAGACTGGTTTGTTATCAAAACAGGTGTTTGTCATTGATTCAAAAGTCATTCACTATTACTTCTGTATTTTCCCACAGGCCACAGAATAAATAACTTCTAAATTTTGACCTTGTAGGCTGAGAGGAAATAGTGTATCATGATTTAGATTATTATTTGATCATAAACCTATGTATGTGTGTAGTGAAACCTTGATTTGAGTATTACCAGCAAATAAATTCCTTTGGCTACTTCAGCCCTTTGTTTTAACTGGTGGAACTGCGTAACTGCTGTCAGAAAGATTGCCCTGAGTTATCCACTATGTTTTATGGCTTGAAATGATCTGAAGCAAAGTTAACTTTTTAATATACATGGCAACAATTATGTGGTCTAAAATAATTGATCAATCTTGTTCAGCAAAGATACGTTTGTGAAGTCTTTCAAGGACTACCAAGCCTATTCTGATGTGCTTTGTCTCGAGTAATGACATTGTGCCAACATTTTGTACAATGGGATGGATGTACAATTGTGTCTTATCCAAGAAGATGCATGAATACTCCAGCAAGAAGATGACTTGCTAAATTAAGTCAAGTTTTTTGCTGTTAATGTCTAAAACTTCTGAAGAGTAGTTGCCAACCAAAAGACCTCCCCAAAATGACAGAAGTTTTACTTTTGTCACTTAAGCCACAGATGTTGGGAAAGCTCTAATGTATGCTGTGCTCCATTTTGTTTGTTGCCTTTTTTTTTAAATAAAGTTAGGTGCATGAAAGTTGCACTGTCACTCACTTTAAAGTTCACTCTAGATTTTTTTTTTAAAAATGCAAAGTTGAAACAGGAGAGAGATTCTGTGTTGAATTGTAATTACTGTAATCAATTCAGACATGAATATCCTTGTCTTTATTCAAGCAGAACAATTCAGCTGTTCTGAAGTCAAAAAGCTTTCCAATGCTGAATGATGACTCCTCCAAAAGTCTTGTCTGTTCTCATACGGAGAAAACATTGCTTGCTGTTAGACCAAATAAACAATCTAGTTAATATCCTAGTTTCTTTTAAGTGCTGTACACTAATCCTGGTAGTCATCTTACCATTAAATGTGATAAAAAATAAATTAAAATCATAACATTGTTTCTAGTAAAGATTGTTTAGAATTTCTGATGGAAACTTTTTGCTTCATCAGTGTTGTTCATTGATGAATTCAGAGTGAGACTGATGTAATTTCTGTTTAAATTGGTGGGAATTTTGTGTGTTGTGAGTATTTGCTTGTCATAAAGATCACACATGCTGGGCAAATGGCAACCTGTAAAAGTTGGTGAAGTTATATTACGTCTTTGCTTTCTAAAAGTCATTGTAGATAGAGACATTCGTAACTTACTAACCTATGAAATATTTGAAAATGTTTTTAAATTATGAACTGTGCACCAAATAAAGCATTTTATACCATGGAAACTTAACTAAAAACCTGTCCAGCCGTTGTCTTTCCCCGTCTTAGATTTTAGAGTCATTCTGAGCTCACCTAATTTCAGGGTAGCTCAGTGAGACAAAGTAAATGTCTTGGGGTGGACATGGAATTAAAGCTTGCGTAGGGAAAGGAAACAACCACACAACATTCAACCCCAGGGCTTGGACTTTGGGTTTCTATGATGGTACTGACATTTCTAGGACACTGTGCTCACTTAACTGTTGTTCTAGTCCGTATCAATGGAGTGTATCAATCCTAACTTGTTTAACTAGAGACTGATGCTTTGAGATACAAAGTTCATCTTCTTCGAGACTGCATTAGATCTCTTAGTCGATGGAACCTATTTTATCTGTATTTTCTCATTTAAATGAAGATTATGACTTAACCGCTTGACAGTATCTCTGAATACTGACAAAACTGGCAACTTCAATTAAAAAAGGAATTATTAGCAATTTTCGTCAATCAGTTTGTATTTAAAATGCAGCATTTAAACAAAGTAGCCTGGCTTATCAAGTATTAATGCTTTCTTTGCTTTTCCATGCTGAAAATGTATGGGGAGAGGCCAACCAGACAAATGTGTGCTTCCCTAAGTAAAATGGTCTAAGACTGACCTTAAATGAGGACTTGTGTATTGTCCAAGAAAGCGTGAGGAACGCTTTCAGCAAAGGAGGAGAAAAGCGACCGTGCCATGTTTAGTCCCCTGTCTCCTAATCTGTTTGCTTGCCTGCTACAGGGAAGCATCACCCGGCGAGCGAGATGCAGCATGTGATTGAGTCTGAGAAGGTAGCGGAAATCCCGGTTGTACATGAGTATGGCCATGACCATTCCAGGTTGCATGCCTACATTGGTGTATCCCTTGTCCTTGGCTTTGTCTTCATGCTGTTGGTGGACCAGATAGGCAGCTCTCATATGCACTCTACAGATGGTAAGTAAAGATTCACTTCAATTAGACTTGCTAATTAGTCTTAATTACAAGTTGTAATTTTTTTGAATGCTACTGGGATTTAATTTGGCCAGTCATGTCTAGAGTTTCAGTAGGTGCTTTACAAACATAAAGCAAGGTCTGTGTGAAATGTTTGTGGTGGAAATCTATCCTGGAGTTCAGCATAATTTGGGAGCTTGCTTCACTAACATGAAATAACTGTACGAGCACGTATGGTGTGGGGGTGGAGGGTGACTTGAAACTTGAGTTATTGTCTGTTTTACAGTATCACCCATAGGGGATTTCTTTGGCTTTCCAAAAAACTTCAGGTTAGTCTTATCTTCGTTTGTTTTTCCTACTTAATTGTCATAAACGTAGGTAAAATTTGCAAAGAACAAAAAGTATCTTAGGACTGCAGAAATGACTAGAGGTAAGCTCTGGTCCTTTACTGTAACTGCAGTAACAGTAAGTTACTGGACTCCCACGCTAGTCTAGAGTCTCACTTACTTCAAAACATGTCCTGCTTAGTCCAAAGACTTATCAGCTTCATTGCAAGACTCTCAAAATGCCTACAGTTCCCTTTGTTTCCTGCCTGTGGCTTCATGCTCAGACTGTAGCTTGAAATGCACCAAAGTTGTTTTGTCATCTGAAAAGGTATTTTATTGCCTTTGGCTGCTCATTTTGTCACACATAATCTCCTCTGGTGGAATTTGGCCCTCAAAAATTAAGGAATTGATCTTGAAGGAAAAGTAAAACACACATGCAAAGGAGGTGGGATATGTTTTGGTTGGATCCTTGGCAGTTCACAGTGCAGCTGCACAAATGCTTGTATGAGGTTAGTGTGGTGGGACAGATGGGAGGCCAGTGCAGGGGCTGTGTCACTTTTGTGTTCCTGGAGAAGCATAAATGGAGCCACAGCCATGGCTAGCTGATTTTCAGAGCTTTTCAAAGGAAATAGTGGCAGTGAGGATGACAAGGGGACGGAGGTGAGCAACTGCCAGGAGAATCCTTGGTTTGTAGAGGTTATAACTCTTTCCTATGTCTCTGATCAGAGCAAATACCAGGAGAAAATTGACTATGATCTGTGTTAGAGATACACAGTATGGAATAGGATATTATGTAAAGTTTTATCTAGTCTGTACCTCTGTCACAGGAAATGTAGTAGTGTTTTTGTAATGTTCTTTAAAGCTACCGAAGAAAAGCATTTTTCTCATTTGAACCAATGTCTGGTAGTTTTGTTATCTCCCAAGTGGCTAGACTTTACTTTGTCTAAACTAGACAAATTATGTAGGCCAGAATGGAGGTATGAAATCAAATGTGAACTCTCTCTTTGTGTTTAGTTCTAGTGAATCCAAACCAAATTTAAAGGAAATGTCCTTTGTGAATATCTCCTCCTATTTGACATGAGTATACTGTCGCAGTCATCCAAATGCAGCTTATGCAATTAATTGCTCAAATAGGCTCCCCTTGAGTCAGGAGACTAATCTGACTGAAGAGAATACATAAGTTTTTAGCCTGCTTACTTCCCTGATCTGACTCACTGGGCAACTACATGGGTGCCTGGGCATGAAGGGAGAGACTGGAGGGCGGGGAGACAGACAGGAGGAAAGGAACAGGACTGGACTTTCTGTTTTGGCAGCAGTGCAGATGTTAAAGTAGCTGTGTAAGTGTGCTTGCAGTCAGCTTATTGACCACTGTCATAATTAAATAACGGCTGTTCAACTGTTTGGAATTAAACAGTTGAATAGTAAGTCCTACACAAGTATAGAAGCATCTTATCTGCCCTGTTCCTTGCAGTGATTCTTTGTAACAGTTTCACTGCTGATTGCGTAGTGGTGGATGTTGCCCTGTTGTTCTGTATACTGAGCTAACCTGCAAATGTCCTCATAGTAGTTGTCAAACAATTGCAGTCAAAACACTGGATCTCAAGCAGCACTGGCTGCATTTCTCCTCTGTGGTGTATAATGTTGGAGGGAAATCTTTGCAACTGCTGCCATGACAAGTAGAATTTATTGCTTACTAGGAATTGCCAGAGAATCAGTGCAACAGAGACTGCCCCAGACTGTCACCTGAAGGAAGATGCCAACATGGGGCTATGTGAGGAAGAATCATCCTGACTCTTGGAGCAGTTCTGGATCCTGAGGATGCAAAACTAGCTTTTCTTCCCCTTGGTAGCACAGAATTTTAACATTTGTTTCAGGAGGTTAAGAAAAACTGCTGCTTCTGCCTATATCAATGATCCTGTAAATTGCAAAGAATTGTCTATGATTCTGTCACTTGTTGACAGACCTTCAGGTGATTTGAAGGTGTTAGGTATCAGACTATTTTACAGTAAATCTAATGCAGAAGTACAAAAGCTGATAGTTTTGAATATAACTGCCTAAGCAGCTGGTAGAGACATGTGCAGTGATACTTACAATTTTTCTTCCAGCATAATTCATGTATTTGTTCTCTTTATCCTAACTTTCCTCATGACCGTTTCAGATCCAGAAGCTGCAAGATCAGGCAACTCCAAAATCACCACGACGCTGGGACTAGTAGTCCATGCTGCAGGTAATGTGGGATCTATTGTTAGCACTTGGCAAGGACTTCCATTGCTGTGTGGCTCATCTTTAGATGTGATAGAGACACTTGGGTTTTGTTTTTGAAGGTGGCTTTTTATACCAAAAAAAAAAAGGGCAGGGAGAACTAAGGATCTTCCCCAAAACTTACTGGGAAACAGTGCTCAGTATGTTCCATGGAGTTTTATTTGGGTACAGTATTTTCACTCTTTTATTTTTCCCATATGAAAAGTTGTGTGATGCTCACTCGCTGCCACTTCAATTCCTTTGCTGGCTGCTTTAGCTGCTAAATTTCAATACATGCTAACACATTTGATAAGTAGTATGAAACACCTTTGGGTTTGCTTGTCAGTTGAGCTGTGTTTTTTTTAAATATTAAGTTTAAAAGAAGAATATCTTGTGGAAAAAAGGACATTACAGGGTGGAGCGCAAAGATTTGACTGAAACACATTTGGGCTGACTTGCGAGGGCTGAAAAAGTTATCGCATGTGTTGCAGTCAACCCATGTTCATGTTGTAATTCTTCACTATATATGTGTAGTATAAATATGATGCTTTTTAATCTCTCCTACTGAAAGTTATTGTCTAGATAAGTCATAAGATGTTAATGAAAAAGATATTTCTTCACTAAACGAAGTGTCTATATATTAAGGATTAATACAGTATCCATTTCCTATTTCATTTAGACTATATTTATGTTAAATTGAAAAAAATAGTGTTTACAACAGTATTTCTATTTGGACATTCATTTAAAGGGTAATAATTAAAATTCTTTTAATGCGTAGAATCTAAAGCAGATTTTTTAATTTAGACAGGAAGCCACTTCTACTACAGAAGACTAAAATAACTAAACTTGTTACCTGGTTCTCATTTGTCGGAATGTGTCAATACGGAATAGATTCTCAGTATGGTTTTTATGGTCTTGGGAAATATAAGACAGCTCCTGTTGAGGGTTGTCTGAAATCCTGAAATTGTGGTGGCTTAAGAAACAAAGAGGAGTGAATCGTGTTGGGTTGGTATTGTTAATGGCATTTTGAGTAACAGGACTTCTCAAATCAACATGTTTTGTACTGTCAGCCATTGAGAGAATGGGAAAGCTGAAACTGATGTGGAGGAATAATACATGAATTTGCACTCCTGTTTCAGCTGATGGTGTTGCATTGGGTGCAGCAGCTTCTACTTCTCAGACTAGTGTCCAGTTGATAGTGTTTGTTGCGATTATGTTGCACAAGGTAAGTCATCATCCAAAAAATCTTATTTGTTCTTTAAAAGACTGTTAAACCATACAGAAATTACTAAAGATCTTAAGTTTCCTTAGTGATGTAATCTGGAAATGTATACCACCATTGAAATGAACAGGTTAGTAGTACAGCTTCAAGGACCAAAAGGCACTGGTATGATGTATGACAGAATAGCAAATGGTGGATGCTAAGTCAGAATGGGGTATGAATGAGAGAGTTCTGACTGCCTACCCTGGTTGCAATGGTTGGGAAAAGTCTCCCAAAAGTAGGGAGAGAAGAATAGCTCACGAAGAAATGTGGCAGCTTCACACTGACTTTTTCTGAAGCTAGTGTGGTGGTGTGTTTTTTTTTTAAAAAACAACAAACCCCCCCCCAAGATTCGTACTGCTGTAAGAGGTGTATTCAGAGAAGTTCTAGAGGGTGAAGCACAGAAGTATATGCTAGTGTATTCAAGGAAGAAAAGCAGTTTTATGTGGATTGCAACAGCTTTTTGGTTCTGTGATGTTCTTAAGAAAATGGGAAGGATGTTTGTTATAAAGGATTTTAGTGTCTTTTGAAACCATGTAATATCAGAGTACTAAATTACAACTTCTGGTTACCTCTGTTATTGTAGTAGCTTCAACATATGCCATTTTTGCAGGAAAAAAATTTAAACGTTTTTCTCATGGTAACAAACAAACAATGGCTCTTGAAGATGGGAAGATCTTTTTTCCTTAATGTTTATGCAAAGATATCTATTAGCTATATAGGTTCTAAACATATGCGTGCAGATGCTTGTTTGACTTATGGTAGCACATGTTTATAGTAGTCATACAGTCATCCAAAATCTTGCTTGTGTAATTGCATGTTCAAAATGTTAGGAAATCCATATCTAGTATGTCTTTTCTTCACTATTCATAGAATAAACTGTGGTTTACATAGTGCTCTTCAAAGGTGGCAGTGTCACATCTTGCTGTGAAGCTTAGTTTATGGCTATTGCCAAGTGAAACTTGCTTTTATTGTTCTTAATGTTCAAATTAACTGACTTCTGAAACTGTACAATTTTAGAAGAGAAAAATTTCTCCTATGAAAGATTATCAAGGAATATTTGGTATTGAAAGAGAAATTTATTTTTTCTCTGGTGTCTTTTTATTTTTCTAGTCTTCTGATCCTGATTGACGCTTTTGTCTTTCTTGGGTTTTTTCCTTCATTCATGGTTTCTTTCTAGGTTTTAAAAAAAAAAAAAGATTCTGTTTATAAAAAATGCTCAATATATTTTAGTTTGTCTTATCTCAAAAATGTCAGGGTGGACTGCTATTCTCTTTATGCGAGCAAAAATATAGTAAAATCCCTGAGTAGTAGGACAGCTATGCCTTGTAGAAGAAACTGGATCAGGGTGGACTGCTATTGTCTTTATGCGAGCAAAAATATAGTAAAATCCCTGAGTAGTAGGACAGCTATGCCTTGTAGATAAGAAACTGGATGCCAGTAGAGGGAGAAGAAGGAAGTATTTGTTTGCTCCCCAGTGGGAACAGAAATGAAACTGAATGATGGACTAGTCAAAAGAACTCTTAAGTCTTTGTTCATGTGGAGGCTGACAGTTATTTATGTTTGGGAATTTTTCCCCCCTCCATGTTAACTGTAGAATTTTTCTATTGTAGATAAAGAAACTGTCCATCTAAGCATACATAGTAGTATCAGGATGAAAAAAGAAATTACGTGAGTTTATGGTGACTTAGGGATTATAGCAATGACTCAAGTCAGAGTGATCATTTTAGTATTTATAATGACTACACAAATGTGTGTACTCTGGTAGCCAGAAGATGGGTTTCCATTAGGTACTGTTATTAAGGTAGGGCAGGCTGCAGAATTCTATTGATTTGGGTTAACTGCAACATACTAGTGTTCTCCCTGAATTTCTTCCAGTTCAGTGAATTTCAATGTAATAAGTCGTATTTCAACTTTATCTCAGATTTCAGGGGATTTTAGAAGGTATTGTATTACCAGTGAATATTGTTTTTTGCAGGCACCAGCTGCCTTTGGCCTGGTTTCCTTCCTGATGCATGCTGGGCTGGAACGGAATCGAATTAGAAAGCACTTGCTGGTCTTTGCGTTAGCAGCACCTGTTATGTCGATGGTGACATACTTAGGGCTAAGCAAGGTAGGTCTGTGATTTTTGTTCTGCCCAAAATGTAGCTTAGTGGTGGAGTTTGGGGAAAGGAAGACCGTATGAGTTTCATAGAACATAATTCCAAACTGCCTGAAAAATTTAGCAGAATGAAGATTTAAAAAAAAAAAGTGGACAAAAAGGTAGCAATATGAATGTGTGAAACGCAAAAATAACCCATGCTTTCCATCAGAACCAGTGGTATAACTCCTCTATAGAGTTTTGTATAGCTTTTGTTAGGAGGCTGACTTCTGTCTTTTCTCCTTTCTACTGCTTCTTGCTGAGAACTTAACAATTTACTCATGTACCAGATTTTATCTGATGACTATATAACTGAGTAATTTTCAGTGTTGCTGCATGCGTTCTTATTTGAATATGCAGGTAGAAAATAATCTTTGCTAGTTTCTTCCACCATCCCAGAATTGGTCGTATATGTTCAAAGTCTTTTTCACACTGTGTCAGAAGTTGAATCCTCAGCTAGAACAGCCTTTTTGCCTCTCATACTCCTGAAAGCGTAGTCGTGTCTTGGCTCTATACAACAAATTTTTAAACTGAAAGAGGGTAGATTTAGATTGGCTATAAGGAAGACCTTTTTTTACAATGAGGGTGGTGAGGCACTGGAACAGGTTGCCCAGAGAAGTTGTGGATGCCCCATCCCTGGAAGCGTTCGAGGCCAGGCTGGATGGGGCTTTGAGCAACCTGGTCTAGTGGAAGGTGTCTCTGCCCATGGCAGGGGGGGGTGGGAATAGATGATCTTTAAGGTCCTTTCCAACCTAAACCATTCTATGATTCTATGAAATGGGCCACTGCACGTGAGTTTTTCATCTGTGTCCAAATTAAATGTTTCTGCTTCTCATAGCACTTCCTGTGACACTCCTGTATTTCTAACTGCTGTGGGCCAGGCTGGTGACACACTATGGTGTTGTGTCGTAAAGAATCTAACGTGATCTCATGAAAATCTTTCATGCCTTGAATTAGTAAATCGTCTGGGCTAATCCCTTTACTTGCCAGAGAGGAGTTATATTTGATATTGCAGACAGCAGGAAGGGTTGGGTTTGTAAATAGAAATGAGAATGCCGTTTGAGCATTCTTTCAATGTAGGCTTACTAAGAGTTGGTTTTGCATTTTGCACTTCAGAAAGAACGGAGAATTGATAAGGCATAAGGGCTGTCACAGTTGTTGTATAGTTCCAGAGCAGAAGATACACCTCTGCTCTTTGGAAAAATAACCTGAGAGTACACCAGAGAACTACCATCACACTTGAGTTGGAAATTGTTCGAGAAGCATTTTGAAACTGATATGAGTGGGTTTGCATTTCATTACATTTAATGATGTATAGCATGATCTTAACCCTAGTATGAATGTGAAGAGGTGCTCAGTTTTGATCCAGAAGATGCATTTCTTAATGAAGCTTGCATGGAAATTCTGGAAAAGTTTTGGGTGTTTCCTTGTACATACAAATGAAATATTGAAAGAGTGATGATTTGGGACTTAAAGCTAGCAAATCTTGCTCTGACCATCAGGGTACCAGATATTTAAAGGCTAACATCTCATTTGAACTCTTTGTTTAGAAAAAGGAAAAAAAAAAGTCAGTCTTGAGTGTCCTTCCTAAAATTTGTGGCTTTGCAATCTGAATTTTATTTTTTTGAAGCACACTTTGTCATTTTGACACTTTGTATGTTGCTGTGAGGTGGTCAGACAAGATGCTTCTGCACAGACTGTGACTTTTTTCTTCTGTAAGGGTTCCTAGAAGTCTGAAGTGAACTAATTAGGATGAGAGGTGTCTTTCTGCCCCCTGCATCAACTTTAGAATGCCAGTTGCCGCACGTAAGGTGCGAGACACAAAACAACACAGTAAACTGTTGTCATTGTGAGAGAATGAGAGTTGATAGAAATCCTACTGTGTCTGGACACTTACAGATTTTTTTTTTATTATTGATTGAAGAACTTCTGCTTATCCTCATGGTTTTTTTGCTCTTTCTGTTTTTTTTTCCCATTTCAGAGTAGCAAAGAAGCCCTTTCGGAAGTCAATGCCACCGGAGTTGCTATGCTGTTTTCTGCTGGGACTTTTCTTTACGTTGCCACAGTTCATGTCCTCCCAGAAGTAGGAGGAATTGCTCATAGCCACAAACCTGAATCAACTGGAGGAAAAGGACTCAGTCGTCTGGAGGTGGCAGCCCTAGTATTAGGATGCCTTATTCCTCTAGTTTTGTCCATTGGACACCATCACTAAACGCTCAAATTTCACCGTTCTCCTCAATCTGACATGAGCAGTAAATGTCGATTGCTCCCTTTATCTTTGTCTCTTACCTGTCATCCATCCCATCCACTTCATGGAGTTCAGAGGGAACGTTGATTGCGAAATGAGGAATACTGGGAAAGTTTTTAGTGTAGCAAAATGTACTTTGGCAGCCGGACATAAATTCTGTGTAACTTTCTTTTCTGAAGACATTTGCTATTTTAATTGTTACTTCTGGCCCTATTCTCAGGGAAGATGGAATTTGGAGTTTAAGAAGGGTGAGCGGGGAAGAACATAGCGACTCATCGTGAAATCACAATCACCAAAGTATCCTGCGATTCAGCTTTCACAGCTGAGAGCAAAAACGAAGGATGGCTGCCTTGTGAGAGGTTGAAGTCTTACTAATGAAGAAGGGGGCTCTCCCCCGTTGGTTCTATGTTGTCCTGACAACGCAACTGGTCCTTGTAATGTTTTGTCACTAATTGTATTGCAAAAATGGACTACACTTGGAATTCTGGACAACACTGCTATTGTCACGGAAGTGTCACTGATAGGAAAGAAATGATGTAGACAAAGTGTAGGATTAGAGTAGGAAATCAGCTGGTTAATAAAGTGCAAATGAATTTTGCAGTGTATTCCATTATTTGAGACAAAGGATAGAAGCAAGGAGAATATTGTTTTGGTTGTTTATGCAATTGGTAATAAATTTTTAAAAGGCACTATTTCTTGGGAGATGGTCTTCTGCCAAGTCAGTAAAGCGTAGGCACCAAAAATGTTAGCAGGAATTACGTATTGGGTACTGCGCTTACACTACTGCTACTGTTGAGAGAGATATCCATAGTGTCCTTTGAAATCGAGCTGGGCTCTGGTTCTGGGCTCTGAGGAGTAGAAATCTGATGGAGACAGCTGTTGAGAACCCAGAGAACTTTACTAGCTCATTTTCAAAAGTGAACTGCTGAAATTAGTGGAGGTGTGGGGGGTTTTTTTTAATTAAATAAACGCTATTAAGGCTAATAAAACAGATGTTTAGTTAAATATTTATGCTGCAGATAGAGTACAAAGTGTTTCTAAAGCAGTTCTAAACAAAAAACCCCAACAAACACAAAAAACAAAAGTGGTGGGTTCCCAGCGGACCTGTTAGGCATTTTGCTTTTCCCTCGGGAATTGTGCATTCGCCTCTTACTGATAAGCATTAGTTTTGGTGAATCTACTGGAGGACTTACTGCCAACTGCTGATGCCTCTCACTGTGGAAGAGTGATAAAAGATCCCTCCCTTTCCAAGGCACAGCCTTCTTTTGTCAGGCACCATTTTTCTTATGCAAAATATATTATACTCTAATAACTGTAGTGCATTGAAAAGTCAGGAATGCTTGACATGCACAGACTCAACATAAAATTCTTTCTTTAGGGGAAAACTTTTTAATGCCGTACCCTTTTTAAGCTATACTTTGTCTGCACTTTTTAAAGATAACATTGCCAAATACATTTCTTTTGATTTTTTTTTTTGTTTGAAACGGATTTTCAGGGCTCGAAATATCTTCTTAACTGAAGTGCTTCTTGTTTCCATTTGAATGACTGTGTCTGGTTTTCATGGCATTTATTACTTATACTACACAGGCCATTGTGCCTCTTAACTTCTTTACATTTTTGTCATTATCCTGTTTGTCTACTAGTTCAATAACGGGTATGGCCTGTCTCTTGGACTAGTGATTGCTTTATCTGTTGGCTTTGTAACAATACAGGTGTATCCCAGGATTGAACCTAGTATTGATCCCCAGGAGTGCTTGTTCATGTGTGTGTTTTACTGTAGAAAACCAGTGCACAATTATTAGAAACCATCTTTTCCCACAAGACAGTATTTTTAGACAGAATTAGTGTATCAGGCCTAAACAAGCATTTTTGACATTAGACCTTCAAAAATTAATTCTGTTCTGAAAAGCTGCTGCAAAATTAGTGACATGGATGAGAGCTTCTCCTGCACATTCTTAAACCTTTTTTTACAATGTACATATGCAACTAGTAAGTTACCTGTTTAAAAAGTTCAGTGACAGAGGTTACCCACACATGCGAATGATACACAGGGATGTTTACACCAGAGCTCCCAGTGTTCTTCCTGATTGCCCCCTAATTACCTTCTTCCTTGATAATCTCACTATTTTACCTTGCTTAATCTTTCCACATACATGAACTGTTTCCGAAAGTTCCGAGAGTTTGCAAGATCTGCAGCAGAAGCAGGAGATAGCTTAGTGCAGCATCAGTTGCTCACATTTTGTAAAACGGTAGGTTTTTTTTCTTTAAGCTATCATCTGTCATTTGTGCGTGCACCCCACCTCCCTAGTTAAGCTGGCACCCTGACTGTGTTCCACTTCAGCCTCATTTTGTGTGTATAACAATTACAGCGGTTTAGGGAGGTGTGTAGGTAAGGTCCCATTTCACGCGTTTTGTTCCAGTGTTGGAGCATGTGGATAGTACCTTCTTCTATGGATGAGTGTGTATTGATGAGGATGTGACAGCCAGCCTTTTCACTGCTGACATAATCTCTGGCGTATTAATCATAAGAGGTGCCACTGCTGAGAGGTCTTGTCGTCTTTCTTTTCTCCTATCCCTCAGATCATGTTTCCAGTTCCTGGGGCAGCCACCAGGCATGTTAATACTCAGTTTAATGATTCCTGAACTACAGAGGCCAAGTTATAGCAGCAGGTGAGGGATTTTAAATTAAAAATTGGCAAGTTAAAATTAGCACAAAAATTCTGATAACATGTACTTTTCAATTTGGCACTCGATTAAGTGATAGAAGATTTGTGATTTTTTTTTTTTCAATTTGGCACTCGATTAAGTGATAGAAGACTTGTGATTTTTTTTTTTTTTTCCTCCTACCCATTTAGAAGTAGCAACAGCATTTGCTTTTGGCTGCCTCTGTTATCTCTGTGTTGAACTATTATTTTCAATTCTGTAGCTGAAACTGCAGTGACTAAAGAAGCTTTTGGTTATGTGATAAGGAGAATATAAAATTTTAAATGATCAAACCTTTCCAAATTGTTAGTTCCACATGGAGGATTATTTTCTTGAGGCAGAGTATTTTAATGAGTTAAATAAAACGGTCCATTTTATAATATCCCCTTTTTTTACCTATCTCCCCATCTGTCACAGTAAATCCAAGCACTGCATGTAGTCAGAGCCATCTGGTATCATTTTCTACTCCTCAGGGGACCTCGGTGTAAACAAATTCCTCTTACTCTCTCTGTAATAGCCATCTCTGCCTGTGTTTTCTGCTGTGAGGTAGGTGGCAGCAGGTCTAGCAGGTAATGCTTTAAGGAAGTGCTAGGCATGTCCCCCTTTCCTTCTGTAAATCCTTCTAGGAAATCGATAATCTTCTCATTAGCTGTTTTTTTCAGTTAATGATTTCTTAATTGGTGATAGGAATTGGACTAAAGCTGTTTCCGTTGATCCCAGTGTGTTCAGGTACTTTCCCTACTGTTCTAATTATTTTATTGTTCCTTACATAAAGAAGGGAAATATTTCTTTTTCAGCACTTGATGACAGATGCAGAAGCTGCATTGATATTAACTTAAGTGAGGATGGCAGAGCTGTCACACCAGGATAGGAATTTTTGATAGTTGCAGCATGTCAGATGGCTGGGTGTTAAACATGGAAACCCACTGTTGACTTCAAAGAACCATTTCCAGGTGGATTGTGTAAAAGGCTAATGTTATCCAAGAGATGCAGGAAAACTACTGCGTTTATTCAGAACCAGGTCAGAGTCTTCAAGGAGCTTTTGACAGTAGCAGATGTGTCCGTGTGGTATCGGCTCTATGCAGAATGAGAGAGAGATACTGTGGAAAAATGTTGCTGCTGCTCCCTTCCTGTTCTGTGCTGGGACTTGGTAAGAGGAGGAGGGAAGTGTATTTGTATTCTTTTGGGGGTGGAAGGAGGAGGAGTGGTTGTGGCATGATGGGAAAGTTTATGATGAATTTCAGATTCCTGTTCACCTCAAACTTCTTTTAAAAATAAAATCTTTTTTTTTTTTCCTATTGTCCTTTTATTACATCTCTTAGCAGCCTGGGCTTTCCAGGGAAAAACATTGCGTGGTCATTGCTGTTTACCTGACTCCATGTATGGAACTGTAATTTTAATGTCTCTTTCCAAACCATTTGTACACAAAATCATTCCATGAATGGCTGCCTTATAATTTTTCCACTTTAATTGTGAATGGTTAAAATAATGTTGCCGTTTTCAATTTGTTTTATTATATTAAATTTTTACTAGGTGCAGTGCTTTGGAGTTGGCTTGTCATTTACTGCATGGGGTTTTGTGACAGCTCCGACAGAGAAATGACAGTCTTAAATGGGATGCAAGTGGTGCAGACAGTACGTTTTCTTTTTATATAAGTGTGTTTGCTGCTTTTCTTCATAATGTCTGAGCACCTCCTGGAAACCTGAAGTGTGAAACTGCATGTGGGGAGGCAGTCTAGCAGGTTGATTTGGACATGGGTATGAATGGGTTTAGAGGTATAAATACAGAAAGGATTTGACAGCTCTGCTTGAGAGGGGCATTTGATAACTTCTGTCTCCCGCAGAGTGTTTAGGAGTTGGCATTGGAAGCTCTCTCTTCCCCCACCCCGCCCCCAAGGAAATCTCTGATGCTTACAAGGCAGAGACCTTTTTGGAGGGCCATAAGGAGATAGTTGGCTCAAGATTGCTCCAGGCCACTGTTAAACGGCTGGAGGACACGCTGGGGCTAAAGAAAATTGAGAGCACAGGATGGAGTGAAAACAATCTCGTCAGCCCCAAACCCAAAATGCAAATGCTAAGTCCATCCATCCTTTCTGGAGGCTCTGTGACAAAGTAGGCTGTGCCGTATGTATGTGCCTCTGTGTGATCTGGATTAAAAGTCAACTTTAAATATGCATGCAAAGATGTGAAGAAAACCCTAGCCTGCTTTTTGTGTTATGGGGGAAAACTGCTGGTGAAATCTTTCTTGCCCCTGTTCTGTGGTTTGTTTTCTTTTTTTTTTTCTCCCATCTTCTTGCTGTTTTCAGGCACCAAGTCACAGCTCAGCTTTCCTTGTGACTGTCCCGTGATCCTACTGCTTAGCTGTTCACAGCTCCTCAGTATTGCTCTGTCTTCACTACTGACACAGTTTTTCTCAAGGCAGCTTACCTTCTTCTTGCAGTGTACAATGAAATGAAAGTCTGTGTTAAGCCATAGCTACCCAAGTTCTCTCTCTAATGCTAGTCGTGGCGGTCATTGTAACTGACAGTGGACTGTGTTCTTGCTGTGAAGAAAAACTGGCTTCTCAGGCTCCTGAATTTCTCTGGAAGGGTTTTATTTGCCTTTGACATAATTTTGAACTGCAAAGAATAGTTGGAAATTAAATTTTAGTAGTGGTCTCTAAGAGGTGCTCAGGCAGGGGATACGAGTCGAGCTTTGAAAATTAATTCTGTTTTGTTACCTGAGCGAAATCTTGCAGGGCTTTTTCCCTATGGGACATTTTAGGCCATATTTTTAGAGTTTGCAGGTTTTATTAAAAGATTCTGAAAAAATCCAGTGAGTTGCACGTTGTGTGCTGTGATTGTAGATTTTTTTTTTTTTTTTTTTTAAAGATGCAACTTTAAAAAGAATGGCCACAGCTAGACACCTCTGATTAAAAATGTTACTTTACCAAAGTTGGTTGGGACTAGATTTAACATTTTAAAACACATGTAGGGCACAAATAAATGAATAAATTGCAGGACTAAATGCTGAGTAAAAAACAGAAGGGTGCTTGTCTCTTGCCAAAGCATATGTAAGTTATGGTTTCTGTCCTGATGTGTGTATGCTTTTAGGGGTTTGTCGAAGAAAGTTGTTATTACCACTGCAGCATCCTGTGGCTACTGCCAGGATTTAGTGCGAGGATGAGAATCGGAGTTGGGATCCTTGCAATAACTAAGGAATAACTAGGAAGTTGACTCCCTGTCACGAGGCAGTCCCTAAGGAAACACCTGCGCAGGCTTTTCAGAGCTGTACGTAGATCTGCGGGTTCTGCAAGTAAGTGGTCTGAAACTCTTGTCGCTTGACCTTGTGTGATAAAACTATCAGCTGGAGCAATTCAGGAAATGTAAGTAGTTTAAAGCAATCTTAGAGAGTGAGGCAACCCCTTAAGCAGCTTGCAGATAGGTAATTGAGGACTCACCTTCACCTCCCTGCTATGGGGATGGTACCTGGCAGTGTGCCAAGTTCGTTAGCACATGGTGGGAAGGCACTAATTGGATGCAGTCTAGAGCACTAATTGCAGAGTGGTCGGGGCTGGAAGGGACCTCTGGAGGTCACTGGTTCAACAACCCCCCTGCTCAAGAAGGGCCACCTAGAGCCAGTTGCCCACGACTGTGTCCAGATGACTTCTGAATATCTCCAAGGTGGGAGACTCCACAACCTCTCCGGGCCACTTGTGCCTGTGCTCAGTCACCCTAAGAGCAAAAAGCTTTTTTTTTCTTATGTTCAGAGGAAACCTCCTGTGTGTGCTCATTGCCTCTGGTCCTGTCACTGGACACCGCTGAAAAGAGCCTGGCTCCATCCTCTTTGCACCCTCCCTCCAGGTGTTTGTATACATTGATGAGATCCCTCCTGTAGCTGCCAAATTGACACAGTTTATAGATATTCTTGCTCTCTATACTCTCCAGCTGCCCTGTAAGCAGGATTGGGTTTTAGACATACATTTTCAGAAGAGAAAGAGGAATGATGCTGTTATAGGATGGGTGACGTATGCATTCCCAAAATCTTCGTGCATTCATTTAAGAGATACCCTTGATGGAGACGATTTATAAGCAATTCATTAAAAAAGGATTTTTTTTTTTCTCCTGCAGTTGCTATCTACAGACTTATCTAGGATTCTGTCACTTTAACAGTGTTTTAGGTATTTCCCTCAAGCAGTAAGCAATCTTCTCAGCTATTTGCTTCCTTTTGATTGTTCTGGTAGCTCATAGGACTTGTGTTAGGAAAAAGTGTAATCTCTTTATACTGGCTTAACCACAAGAGAATACGATTAATGTAAAGTCAGTAGGAGAAGTGAAACAAATGACAGTGTTGCTATTGTAGCTGGTACTGGCAGATGCAAGGCAGTAAGGGGGGGAAGCCGGTATTTTGCCAGATAGGCTCTTGGTTTTTCAGCAGGTAAAATTCAGTTTTAATGGTGAAGCATTATGCAGTATATTAGCATTCTTTTAGTGTGTTTAATAAAAATGTCATCTCGGTAACTGGAGACTTAACCGCTGCAGTCTGTTGTAAATCCTTTTGGAGATGTGAGGAAGTGCTTTGGGTGCATTTATGTTACAAGAGTTACCGCTAAAAACTTCAGTATTGAGGAGCTGTGGTTTTGCAAGCTTCCTGATGATGGCTGTAGAGTGTTCCTTCATTTGCTAAGGAAAACTTTTTCATCAGCATTTTCATCAGACACTCATTAGGGATGAGCACAGCAGCAAGAAGATGATGAGCTATCATCTATTGTTCCAGCTTACAAATTAAGCCATTCTTCTACTGATAGGTGCAAGCCTTATTCTAATATCCCTGCAGGCGGAGTTGCACAACATTCCACCCTCCTTATCACAGTGCTTCTCCCTCTTGTCTGAGATGTCTAGAGATTAACAAACCCTTATGGTGGATGGGGGGCTTAAGAAAAATCCCTCATTCAGAAAACTTGTAGAGCTAATTAAAAGTAGGCTGTATCGTGATGACTGACACCAAACCTATATAGTATTTAGAAAATCTAAAAGGCAAGGTGAAATTATTAGAAAGGAGGGAAATGCTTGTTCTGTATCTGTATGCCCATCCAGTGT